TTTAATTGCGAATTTCTTCATTAAGAAAATCCCAATGAAGACCCGCCAACGCAATTTTTCTTCTGTGACGCAATCTTCATATTGCCAGTTATTTTCCTTTATTTGTATTTTTTGACTACTTTTTTTTATTATTTACTCCTTTATTAATTTTGTTCAATTTAATTCTAATGTTTGCTTTCCTTGCTTTTATATTTTATTCAATTTCATAACTGAACACATTTCATTTGATAAGGTTTCTTTTCTTTTTCAAAATCCCTGTGAAATACACCCGACCTCTCTCTCCCCACTTCCCTCTCCTTCTCTCTCTCTCACAAACACGCACTCCCTCTCTCTTTTTTTTACACTGTCTTCCTTAGAATTTGTACCACAAGTTCTCTCTCTCTCTCTCTCTCTCTCTTTCATTACCTTCCTCTCTTTCAGAATATTTTCTCTCACAGTTTCTCTTTCATTGTTTCTTCTACCCACTTCTTTCTCGAATCTTTTCGCTATTACCACTTCTGAAAATTACTCATCTCATGCAGCTGCTGCTTCAACCAACTTTGAATTATTGAAAAAGGTGATCATTCAAATCACATTTTAACGCTTTATATCCTTTGATTGGAAGTCGTTAAAGATTTTCATAGATTTCCAGGAATTACGTAATAAGAATATTTCCAGATTTACGAACATTCCCCGGTTTACGAACGTTCCCCGGTTTACGAACATTCCCCGGTTTACGAACATTTCCCAATTTGCTCAAATACAAAATTTTAAAGATATTTTCTTCATATTTTTGGCAATACAAAATGTTTGTTTGGTTTGGTTTATTTTGGTTACGTTATATCAACGTCAATCAGTTTTTTTTAAATGCCGACAAGATTTTTAGGATAGGTTCGTATGAATAGAACATATATTCTTTGCAAGAAATCGGGCTTCATTGACGTATTTTTGTAAAGCGATATTTTGTCGGGTGACAAATGTATTCCTGGTAATGTGAATTGCTGGTATTTTTACTATAAAATCTATTTTTATACTTTCATAGTTTGTTTTTTTTACCCCAGTTTGGAGGTTAACTATTTGCCCATAGCTGGGACCCTAACAGGTGGTACCAACCCAATATAGGAGAACACCTCTGGTCTCAGAAAAAGCGGGACACGCCCTTGTCCGAGAGAGAATCCAGTACAATTATAAATAAAGTAATAAAATGTCGCATTGAAAATCAACACCCATTAGAAATTACCGACATATCTCTATTTATAAAAGGCAGGATGTGTGTGTGTGTGTGTGTGTAACGAATGCACGGCCGCAATTTTCGACGGATTTGCACCAAAATTTACATGCACGTGCTCCAAGTTAGCGGGAAGGCCAAGACCGACTTTACATTTCCCAACTCCCATCGATAGTGGAAATAATCGAATTTTTCATGCTTCTACGGCAATTTTCATGTAGTTTTCGGCCATTTTCTACTGGCCAGTGTGAGAGCCAATAGTGGCTGCCACGAATAGGCAGGAAGATTCTATTGGCCAACGTGAGAGCCAACAGCTGACTCACACGAATCGATAGCTGCATTCGTCACAAGTGGGAAAAATTTAAATCTGCATGGCACTTTATTCCAATTGGCTCATTCGCTTGCTTAAACTCAACGTCGATTCTGATTCCGCAGAACTGGGTTGGGTCTGAAAATGTATTTGTTGTTAACATTCTTTTTTCATTCGGTTTTTCCAGTTACGAGTCCTTTTCTAAAGCTGATCGTTTTGTGTTCATTTTGTTTAGTTCTTTTTTGTAACAGATTTAATGGTTAGTATAGAGCTTAGAAAAAATTTGCAGTGTGAGATAGGCAAGAAGTAAGGCATGTAGCAACATCAACACGGCAAAGGACACTCCTTTAAGGGCAAAAATATTTTAAGTCGTAATAACGATTGCTCTATGAGTCGTATGATTTTTGAATCAAGCACGCGCAACGCCGGGCTATGCTGCTAGTATATATATATATATATATATATATATATATATATATATATATATATATATATATATATGAGAAGTTTTCCACAGACAGAGTGTATCGCTGTATCACAGCTCATCGGTGTGGCTAGACCGAAACCCGACCGATTTGAGATTCTACCCCCAAAGTATCGCCGCACGTCAGAAAAAATGGGAAATTTTAATGTTTCTACTCTACGAAAGACGATATACATTTTTAGATGAATAGCCAATTTAAACTTTTCTTTACTATTAAGACAGAAGTAAATACTTTCTTCGTTTAATACTAGAAATATATTTTAAGTTATTTTTTAGATCACTGTTTTATGTCCATAGTCTTTTTTAATCTCTTGATGGAAATAATTATAAGATATATTGCATAAATATTCCCTTATATTATCCCGAAGTTTCTAAAACTTTTAGAAGTTTTCACATTAAGAAGAGAACAATAATAGTTTTATTATACACATTGTTTTGAATAATTCGTAGCTAAGGCATGTTCAGGAGAATTATTCCAATTAATCACTACAGACCGTCATCGACTGCTTCGAGAGAATAAAAGGCTGAATTGTGATCCACAAAGCAAACTCGACTGAATTACCGATGCAATGAAAACTTGAGAAACTCGTGTGTCAATCAAGAAATAAGGCTACTGTTTTGATTCTCATAACAAAAAAGTCTAGTGGCAAAAGAAAAAGTAAATTAGATCATAGAGAAATGGAAGATGATAGTGTTTTATGACGAAAGCATGTATAATTTAAGTCTTCTCAGTAGAAGTCAATAATATTGGCAAGAATGTTTGAAAGAGACGCAAGTTTTAATCTGAATAGATATTTGACACTAAATACTTTGTGTTGTGGCAATATTTTTCACATAAGGATAATGCTCAATTGGTTATGAGAAAAGAAAAGAAAAATGTAGAGTACTATGTAGAAATGTCTGAGAAGTCTTACGTACTTTGTCAACAGCCAAAATTGAATTCAGGGTGATAAGAACCACAAGCAATGGTACGATGTCCAAAGAATGGTATAAACTGCATATTCTTCAGATTACCGTCCTGTTAGGAATGTTTGGCACATAATTCCAATTAAAAACTATCAAGAAAAAAGCACTTTGAAAGTGAATTTGAATTCGGATTTGTTGGCATGAAATCCCGATTGAAACCTTCAGAAATCTTGTGGTTTTAATGAAATACAAGTTTAGACAAGTTTTAGAACTTCAGTTACTGAATGATACAAGTTTAATTTTAAAAAGAATTCATAATTTCTTATACATATTTCTGGAACGTGTGCTTGGACAAAACTTTATATAACTGAGTGTAACGAGGGAAAAACTGATTTTAAGATTGAGTTACCCCTTCATTATTTTCATTTTTTTACATATATAACTACATTAGTAATGCACATTGACCAATATTTGACAGTTAGAAGCGATGTCTCGCACGTCCTGCAATTACTTCCACCACTTTTAGTCAGTCTGTTCCGCTCAAACAACTCCCTCAATTTAGTTCGCAGTTTTTAAGTATTTATCTACAAAATAACACTAAGCATTATTTTTTCCTATTTATTTAATTCAGCATATGTCTCGGTCTTTTCATATCGACATCTATCTATCTATCTATCTATCTATCTATCTATCTATCTATCTAATTCTGTTCCTTCCTTCTTTCTTTCCTTCCCTCTTTCTTTCCTTTCTTCCTTCTTTCCTGTCTATCTATCTATCTATCTATCTATCTATCTATCTATCTATCTATCTATCTCAGTCTATCCCTTTATTGCTTCATTCCTTCCTCTCTATCTATCTCTTTTCCGCCTCTGTCTCGGTCCCTCTTTCTCTGTCTCTCTCTTTCTCTCTCTCTCTCTCTCTCTCTATATATATATATATATATATATATATATATATATATATACACAAACAGAGATATGTCTTTTGAATAAAAAAAACTCTTAAATATATCAAATGAAGATAAAATATCATAAAAAATTTATGGTCCTCCCCGACATCCATTCTAATAAGAGCGAAGTCATTAGTTCTGCTTAGTCATTTTAGTAGACAAGATGGTGGGAAGTAAAAAGAAAGATTATGACGCGATGCTAGTATTCGTGTCGGCAACAAGCAAGCTGAAAACAATGGCTCCGTGCCAATTGGAACGTTAATTAGAAGCTGGATTATACTAATTGTTGTCAGTTTCTGGTTAGAGTCGCAGTAATGGCGACCAAAATGCTAATGAGAGGAGAGGGTAGGTAATTAGGCTGGTCAAAAGCGATCACACGTATAATGTCTTCGTTCGCTTCCATTCAGTGAAGAGTTGCATTTAAATGGCGTCCATTATAATGATGAAGTCGTCATGTTGACGATTTTTATTATTTTTACAACGAAACACTGTAGAATTATGGACATATATATACATATATATATATATATATATATATATATATATATATATTCGGATAATAAGATTATTTCAATATAGCTAATTAATAATAATTTGCCAATTACATTAAATAATTAAACACTCAAATTTGAGTTTTATATATTTTGAGTGGTTATTTTACGAAAGTGTTTTGCGATACGATTTTATTCGCCATCATTTGCTTGACACATTTGTGTATCATTTGTGCTTCGAATAATGTTGTCAGATCAAGTTTGGTTATTTTGCTAATTATTTAGAGATTCTGAAAAAATCCAACTAAGAATCTGCAATGTCATCTGTCTTGACCTGGCATCTTGGCTTCAGTCACTTTCCAAACCACCATAACATAAATTCCCTCTGTCTTTTCTATAAATATCTCACGAAAGATCAAATGATATTTCCTTTTTGGTACTTAGACCTCGTATATTAGATATGCAACAAGGTCTTACCATTTTATTGATGAAATAGCTAGATGTGACTGTAGCTTCCATTCTAACTGAGTCTGTCTACCCCAGTGAGCGAAATAAAGGGTTAAGTTCGAAATTCCAACCACCTGAAGAAGGCCGGAGTGTACAACGGCCGAAACGTTATGATAAATATGGCGACAAAGATGAGGACAGTAGTCCGAATAATGTAAATAATGTTTCATTCTGTTTACTATAAGTATATATTGAACTATATATCGAACCATACTGAACCATATATATATATATATATATATATATATATATATATATATATATATATATATATATATATATAATATAGTTTCTTGCTTCCCTGTCAATGATGAAAATTTAAAAAAATTTAAACACAGCGCCAGTCGCCATCTTCTGTCTTTTGGGAACCTGTTCTTTTATAGACTTTTCTCCTCAATAATGTTTTCTCTTTTTCTTTCATTCCCAGTAACCCGTTGCGTCTTAGTTGCATTATCGCCTTGTTTGGGGTGGAATGATTAAAAAATAAAACATTTTTATTATTAATTTATTACAAATTTTACTCTATATTTATGTAGCTTTTTATTAGATGAATCTGGGTTAATAACATTCTTCAATATTCCTATTATTTAATTACAATTTTTATTTCCTATTATTGTAAGCTTTTCATATAAACAGTCTGGGTCACACTTTTCATTTTATCATTAGGTTATAACAAGTTTTATTCAACCTTATTTTGTTGTTTTATCATTTTGGCTTTATTAACTCTTTATTTTTCTACTAAGATAATACCCGTCACAGTAATGACAGTTTATTTATGCATGCGTAGCATGGCTTGGAGTATGTACTCGCTCTAATATCAAAGTATTTTTTGTAATCTTTTTGATCTCTGTAAAGATTGTAACGCACATTATATATATATATATATATATATATATATATATATATATATATATATATAAAAATATTTTACATGGCTACACAAAAATTTCTATGTTTCAGGACTTAAAAATAGTTCCTCATCAGGCGATGTTGGATTACTTATGATGAAAACTTGGGAAATCGGAAAACAATTCAGTAGCTCATTTGAGAGTTAAATGGCTCGGAGTATATACGCGCTCTAAGATCAAAGTATTTATTGTAATATTATTAACAGCTTTGTGTGCTACCAATATAAAATTTTTTAACATGCAGGATTTCAGTAGATGAAACGGTGCATTGGTAAACAATTGATTCAGTAAGACATTTATTTTGCAATTGACAATTTATAGGATTTCTACAATTACATAATTTATTATCAATATTATTGATTTCTGCTTTGGAATTGTTTTAGTTAATAGTATTTTTCATAAAAAAAATCTACGCATTACAATTATATATCCATTATTTTATTAATATATAATGATCCATATAATATTTATTTTTTAACTTTAATATTGCTATGTTTTATTGCCCATTCAATATCATAAGTATCGTATTTTGGGTTCAATATATATATATATATATATATATATATATATATATAAACGCTTTAATCACACTAAAGGCCTCTTTAAGATAGTTCTGAAGTATATATATATATATATATATATATATATAGATAGATAGATAGATAGATAGATAGATATGTGTGTCTTACTTATTATAAAACGCAGATTGTGTGTGTGTGTGTGTGTGTGTGTGTGTGTGTGTGTGTGTGTGTGTGTGTGTCTGTAACGTTTATATATTGGATCGGATTTCCTACATTTTTCAACCGATTTCAACAAAACTTCACAGGACTACATAAAATTACCTTGTGGTGGTTCTAACAGTGCCAAAAATGGGAAAAATATAATTGTTTTTGCACAAAATCAATTTGAAAACACGATTAAGAGACATCGTGAAAATGGAAGGGGGACAACTCACATCGGGTTGTTTGTGTGTGTGGGTTCCTTTAAATATGGGAGCGGATTTCCTATATTTTTCAGCCGATAAAACAAAACTTCGCTTTTTTTTTTTTTTTTGGAGGGTAGTGTTTCTTATTCTCTTGCACACTTTTTCCTTCATTTTTACATACAGAATGCTTTAAAAATTCCATTTACAAGACAATTGTTTATAAAATTCTATTCAATCGGGAGACTCATAACGATTGAAAACAATGCTTTTGTTCGAGTTTGGGTTTGAACAAATCCTAAAAAAAAAAAAAATAATTAAGACATGCTTGTCCGTCAACCTTAAACAATAATCTAACGATCTTTACTGATTGTACAAATACAAACATCGGAATAAATTCTTTATCTTTAGGGAAAGATAATGAAATCTAAACATACACAAGTCCTAACTAAAAATAATAATCGGAACGGGAAACTACTTTAAATATATTCAATAAGTAAAAATCATAAATTGTTAAACTAAAAGATTACAGAAAGGCTACCTACATTTTTCAACCGATTTCAACAAAACTTCACTTTTTTTTTTGGCATGTAGTGTTTCTTATTGTCTTGCACACTTTTTTCTTTATTTTTACATTCAGAATGCTTTAAAAATTCCATTTACAAGACAATTGTTTATAATAAAATTCTATTCAATCGGTAGACTCATAACGATTGAAAACAATGTTTTTGTTTGAGTTTGGGCTTGACCAATTCGTAAAAAAAAAAAAAACTAATTAATACATGCGTGTCCGTCAACCTTAAACAATAATCTTTGTCAATTTTACTTTTCAGTCTTTATGATGGTGGATACTTGATCTATCTCTTACTGTTATATCCCCGGGGAACGACGGGCTCTACTGCTAGTATATATATATAAATTAAATCTTGAAATTCTTAAAAAATTAATCTTTATATATATATATATATATATATATATATATATATATATATATATATGTCTACTTCACTGTATCTTAAATTTATATTCGTAACCGGATGTCGTCTGTGCTGAAGTGCCTTAAAAGTGCCAATTTATCTCGACATGAATTAATAACTCACCTACTCCTAACTTCTGACTTCATTTTTCTATTTTAGCTTTGATTCGTCTTTTGATTGGTTAATCAAGACATACCCACAAATGTGCTTTTTTAATTTTGGAATCTTGGCTTTCCCCTCCTTTTTAACTCTCAAATCAGCTGCCGAATTTTTTTTCCAATTTCCCAAGTAAATCACTTTCATTATAAGTTATTCAACATCGCCTAATGAGGAACAATGTTTATGTTCCGAAACATAGAAATTTAATGTAGCGATGTAAAATATTTTATAATAAAAATATTATTATAATATTTTGCTCTACGTTGTATCTAAGATGCTAAGAACAGTGGATTCTTAATCTGTCTATATATAGGAAAATGAAGACGAAGACAAAAATTGAGAAATTAGCATACTTTACAAAAGAGAAAAAAATAAAAATTTTTTGATGAAATTGAAAAGGTATGGAATTGGCTGTGAGGAGGGTATCTGAAGAAGCAAAATTAATTACTATTGATATTGCGACAGAGAAATTCCGTAAAAAAAACAATTGTATTAAGTTCAAGATAAGGGCACAGAAAAATAAGAAAGTTTTGATTATGAGGTGAATATATATATATATATATATATATATGTGTGTGTGTGTGTGTGTGTGTCGCGTATATTTTGGCAGCATGTTTTCATTAAGACATGTCTCATTAAATAATTTAGACAAGTTATTAGATAATTTAGACAAGTTTTGTCTAAATTATTTAATGGGGCATGTCGTTTAGATAGATAGATAGATAGATAGATAGATAGATAGATAGATAGATAGATACTGCATTTTTTTTAATTCCTTTTGTTTGTCTCATTTTAAGTTTAGGTACTTTTTAGGTTAGACACTGTTTTTGACCACGTGCTCACTGTTTACATGTTGTTTCCAAATGTAACCTTCAACTTTCTTCCTTTCGGTGAACTTACACAACACTGAAAAATCTTCCTGCAGCAAACTTTATACATATTCATGAGAGCGAAATATTCCTTTTTACCCATTTAGACAAATGGTCTTCTATGTTCAAGATTTCGCGTTCTTTTGTGATACTTATTTCTTTCAATTGTTTGCTATTCACACTAACCTTGTCTTATATATACATTCATTTCTTTTTATAGATTCACTATTTTGGTTGATTTTTGCCGATGAACAGGATTTTGTCTTCACAGTCTTATTTGCCTTAAGGCGTTTATCTGTCTTTAGGTAACCACGCGTATGAGACGGAGGCGTACTCTGGATGCAGAACAATATATATATATATATATATATATATATATATATATATATATATATATATATGGACAGAGTAAGAATATAATATAAAAGGCTCAAACACTGGTTATAATTTATTACATTGGAATCGTAATCACGATCCAATTCATCAGACCTACAAATTCAAAAAGAAATCTGAAAATATAACTCCGGGTATAAAAAACAAAATTTCAGTGAGTGTGTATGTGTTGGAGCGAGAAACAATGTTGAGAGAGAAATGTATGAAAGCTTTAGAGAGAGGCGAAACGGAAGAAAGAAGAATAGGAAGGCCTACAGTTGAAGGTGGGGATTAAAATTTGAAAGAGAGAAGTTTTAAAGAGAGAAGTTAAATAACGGTTTAAATGACTGAGATACAGGTAAATAAGAATGATTTTTAGATACATAATTTACCACCGATTCGCTGACCTAAAATTAATAAAAAAAACAGACACCGGTAACGTGTGAATACATTTGTGGTGACATTAGGCACAATAAAAATTGCATGATCTAAACTTAAAATCCAGCCAATTCATACTACCGATGCATACATGGAAATTTTCCGTCTGGTTTGCATTACTAACCTTATGTATACATGAAAAGAGAAGATGTGAGAAAAAATGTAATAAGTTTTAACCACGGTTCCAATGTAATAAATTATAACCATGGAATATTAGTGTTTGAACCTTTTATATTACACACACACATACATATATATATATACATATATATATATATATATATATAATCACTTGCACTTATAATTACTTGGATTTTCAATCAATCATTCTGATATTATTTCTGATTATATAAAATCTCCCTTTTATTTATAAAAGCAAGTGTAACAGAGAAAAGCCACGAGCAAACCATATAATGAGGATAATAAAACAGTTAACAGAATAACGACTGCGATTGATGTTGAAACAACCTGACTCAGAGATGCAAAGAAATAAGAAGTTTTAGAGAGACATGATCGCCAATGTTCGGAAGAGACACGGTACTTAGAAAAAGATGTGGCACCATGCATACCTGACGAGCTGAAAAGAAATATTCGTAGATATATGATTTGTTTTTTACGGTTTATCAACCATTTAATAATTATTTAGGGCCGAAAAATATTTTGGGTTTTAAGAATAATTCTTTCTTTACGTTCAAGTGATCTGGAAGAAGGAAAGAGAAAACGAAGAAGAAAGAAAGAAAAAGTAATACGAAAACAGGTCATAGGCGAGCACACACACGCTCGGCTGACAGATAACAGGTGTCGAAAAATATCCAGGTCAAGCATCTAACCGAGATTCGGGGAAAATGGAAGTTGTTATCAATTGGATTGTCACCCAAAGGAAAAGAAAGAAAAGAAGGAACGAAGTTTAGGGACAATGAAAATATTGATAGGTAACAAGTGGGAAGTGTATCTAAGGATATGAAGGCAAACCATTAATACGAAAACATAGACAGTCTCCAGAATTAGAAAAAGCCACACAAGACGATGTCGCTGGAAAAAAATTTTTTGAGATAATAAAGATTTTTATTATCAGTCCTTCAAGCAGAGGAAATTGAAATATTTTTATTTCGTTCCAAAACGCCAACAGGTCTGAGAAATTCCTTTCTTAGATCATATCCAATTAGCGATAAACTGCTTGACAAATACCACGTGTTAAAAAGCCGAAGGTGTCATCTCAGTCGCTCATGATAAGGGCGATTTAAATTAATATTTTTGTTTTTTAAACAAGGTGTTCTTTCCTAAAACAAAGCCACGGATTGTCCACGCCCGACCAGGACCTCATTGGCCGAAAGCGGTCACATGACACACGAAGGAGGAGGAAAGATACCCGACCAGAACCTCATTGGCCGAGAGCGGTCACGTGACGCACGAGGAGAATCGGTCGACGCCCTTGTCAGAAGTGTAAGTATAAGGAGCCGATACGAAGAAGCGGGGAAGTGGGTATACGCCCCTTAGAGGCACAGTAAGGAAGTGGGAGTGGGAGTGAGAGTGAGTTACCGAAAATGGAAAATCCCTAACCAGAAATAAGAAGGGTGGATACGTATTTAGAATTATCGAGAAACCCCTGGCGCCGACAGACCCACCCCAGTTTTGACTGCGTCAATAAAAGCGGGACCCCAACCGACAGAAATCAGAGTTTCAGCCGCGGACGGCGAGAGAGTTTGAGCAGCGGATGGCGAAAGAGTTTTTGAGCCGTGGACGACAAGCAGAGATGAGCGCCCAGTGTTGAAACCGCATCAAGATAGCTGACCAAGATTCACGCACACTTCTGGACTCTTCTTCAACCAAGAACAAGTAGTTTGAAGGGCGACTTAGAATCAGACCACAGAAATAAGTTTTTTTTCGGCTTTCGTCCAAAGACACACCGAAACACAAATTTCTTAGAGAGCAGACAACTTGAAGCGTTAAAAAAAATTTGCCTAGAAAAGCGTCGTGCCACAATCCACAGAACGGGTCGGGAAGTAGACATAGTCCCATGTACCGAGCAAATAGACATAAAAAGTTTGTTACCTTTTTCTTTGATACGTTGGACCTTGTGAGTTTTTATTTTATTTCTTTTATACATAATAAGAAAAAGTCGTTGAAAATGCGAGAGAGGAGAAAGAAAGAAGTAGAGAGATGGAAGGAAGGTGAAATCCAAATGTATACATAATTGTGTGCTATCACCCCCGTTAGACTCAACTTGCATTACGGCCCCAACCCCTGTTTGATCTCGTCTGTCTAAGATCAATTCACAACGTGGGTAGGCAGACTGGAGATCAGTACAGTTACCCTGGTAACCAGGCGTTGGAAGCGGGTTGGGAACGGCGAGGCTGGTATCAATCTAACCAAAGGGTTAGAACGTCACGTTTGGAGCAGCGAGGAGCGAACAGCTGACGCCGCGGCAAAGACGTCACAACTGGTGCTCTCCGTGACCAGGATATCAGAGCCTGGGGAGCACGTGACGTCACAATTGGCGCCGCGACCGGGATCGAACGACATAGTCGACGCTGCGACCGGGGGACGACGTCACAAAGAATCATGCCGATGTCATCTCTCGCGATTAGCACCTGACTTTGTCGTCCATGTTTTCTGAGCACTTACCGCAAACGAAGTACCAAGGTATTAATGTAAATTTCTACTCCTGAGTTTGATCTCAGTTTTCGTGTTCGTTTCTTACATATTAACTGATTTTCTCCTGTACTTTCTGACTTCTGCTCTCTCAGAATTAATGGTTCGCAGCATCCCACGGTTCTTTTCCAAATTATATTCGAAAATATTCCAATATGGACAAAATCACACCCAGGGATACCTCACCGTGTAATAAGTTAATACCACTGGCCATTCCTCGCAGTTCTCTCCTGGATGCTGCACACTACATTTAGAAAAAGTATCAGGCGAAGGAGCAGTTCACCGTGGAAAGACAATTTATACGTCATGAATCTATTCATAGCTGCGTAATCCTTTATTTGTAGATTCATTCCAGACTAAATTAAGCTTAGTAAATATTCCGTTTGATTTGTTACTGAGATAGGTGTATAATTTTCAGCGGTGCCGCTATTTGGTGTTCGATCCCAGGTAAAAGAATGAAAAGATATCGAATGCTGATTTTCTTGACAGATTCTCTCCAGGTCGAATGATTGGCATAGACCTTAAATATTCCCGCTGAAAGAGTTAGCTTTTAACATAATAACAATTCAACATTAGGATTAGGTGCATGCAAATATTCCCGGTGAAAACAAGTCTCTTAATATACAACTGAGAAGTTGTTTTATGCTGGAAATATTTGCACACAATAAATATTCTCTTAAACACGCGTGTGCGGACATACAAAAATCATTTTTAACGTCTTTGCCGCGTTTTTTTTAAAATTTTCTCTTTTTTAACCATTTTTTTTTTTTTCTTTTTGTAGCTGTTTACGTGTTGATTCTTATTTTTTATGTTTTTATATTTTTTTATATCACTTTCTTTTTTTTACGGGGTCAGCCTTAAGCAGACTTTATCAATTGCTTCCAATTCTTAGCCTCACCTAAGGGTTACTCACGCTACACTATTCCACTGGCAACTCATATACTAGTCTCTAGAAACTGGAGACGGCCAAAATAGTTCCCAGTTGCGCTGCGCATCACCTAAAATTTGTCGTGCTTTTTTTCATTTACTTTCTTGCTTAGATGTTTTGTTTAATTTCTTTAACGCTTTTCTTTTCCTTCTTCTCTTTTCATTCATTATATTGCCTTCTTTCATTTCTTCTTCACGTCTTTCTTCTTCGTTGAGTTTCTCCTTATTTTTTTTTCTTCCTTATATTACCAAATTTGGATTTCACCTTCCTTCCATCTCTCTACTTCTTTCTTTCTCCTCTCTCGCATTTTCAACGACTTTTTCTTTTTTTCCTTTGAAGCTTTTTATTCCTTCTTTATTCTCTTTCGTTTTTTTTTTCTTGGTGTTTATCAATTTATGTTTTTCGTTCTCCCCTTTCTTTCTCTGTCACCTTTTCTTTTCCTTCTATTCGTTCTCCTTTCTTTTCTTTACTTTTTTCTTTAGGTTTTCTTTCATTTTTTATTCTTTCTTTTCTTTCTTCCTTCTCCTTTTTATCTCTTTCCTTTTTTTACCCTTAGTCATTTTACTCATTTCCTCAATTTCTTTGGACTTCCCTGCTTTCTTTTTTCTTTTTTCACTTTTCTATTTTGTTCTTTTTATTCATTTATTCTTGTTTATTCAATTTCTTTCCGTCTCTTTTCAACTACATACCTCCCCTCTTCGCTGTTTTTTATTTTGTTTTGTTTTTATACTTTTATTTAATTCTTGTTATTTTACTTTTTTTTTCTTTTCTTCTTTATATCCTTGTTACGTCTCTCGTTTTTTTCCTTTTCTTTTTATTCTTGCTCCTTTTCAATCCACCCGTCTATCCTTCGTTCTAATTTTTCTCTTCATCCAAACCCTAACCCTCCACAATAATCTCTGCTCAGGGTTTAATCTTCCCAAAATAACAAAAAGGAGGAAAAATGTCCGGCATCAAGGTTTCAATCATCAATACGGACTAAGGTGGTCCATTTAAAAACAGAGACAACGGAACCCCCACACCGCATAGCGCCATTTTTGTAACGGTGATGACAGACTTTTCGTTCCCCGATTCGCTTCTTCAAATAATCACCTTGTCTTATTTTTAAACGTAACTTTTCACTAGATTTTCATTTATCGAAACTGAATCGACTGCTTTCTTTTTTTCCATCCTGGCTTTTCCTCTCTTTTTATACTTTGTTTTTATTTATTTATTTTTTTTCATTTCCCTATTCTTTCTTTTTCTCCTACTTTTTTTCTTTTGTTTTCTCTTCTTTTTTTCCTTTCTCCAATAGTCCTTCCTTTTTACCTATTTTCTTTTGTTTTCTTTTTTCATCCTTCTTTTACTCTTACTCCTTTTCCATTCTCCTTTCTCTTTCCATGTTTCTGTTTCAGTTTTTCTTCTTTCTTCTTCTTTTCTCTTCTTATTGCATGTTTACATTTTTCTTACACCTTTTTATTTCTTTCGCTTTTCACTTGACCATTCATTTCACTTTCTTCTTTTTTTCATTCACATTTTAATCTTTCATTTTATCATTTGTCAAATTTGCTTCTTATTTTATTTGATTAATTTTTTATTCACCATTTTCTTCATTTTTAATTTTCTCTCTTTTTTTCTTATTGTCTTTATTCTTGTTCTCTTCCTTTATTCGTATATTCTTTCTATTCTTATATTCTTTTTGTCTCTATCTTTTGTTTTCCTTTATTCTTTTTACTCTTATTGTCTCTATTCTTGTTCTTTTCCTTTATTCTTATATTCTTGTATACTTTTTTGTACGCTTCTCGCTTTCATTTTTCCTTTTTTTCTTTTTCTCATTCTTTCTTTCTTTACAGATTTCCTTGTTTATATGCTTCATTCCTTCTTTTTTTATCTTTGTCTCTTTTTCTTTCAGTTATTCTATTCTTTTTCTTTTCGCTCATAATTTCTTTTCTTTCTCCTCCCCACTTGCTAACTTGTTTTACTCCTTAAAATATCCAATGCCCTAAAATCCCCTATATCACCCTACCACCATCAACCAATACCCTAACCGTTTGTTCTCAATCAACAGAACCTTCTTTTTTTTTTTTCCTTCTCCCGGGACATCCCTTCTCGAATGTCCATCGGCCAGTCTATTAATTCTGTTGGTCAATCGGCCATTTGTGAACTGGAGACTTTATCAAAGTCTCAGCTATCATATTCCAAATAATTCTTAGCCACACCCGCTTTTAACGACATCGAATGGCTCTATTTTTTCTTTCTTTTCTTTTTTTTGTCACATTTTACATTTATTTATTTTATTTTATTATAAACTCACCACGTCTCTATCGCTTCTAGCCTGAACCCCGACCGTCCTCTTCTTGATGGATAGAAAACATTGGACAGCATCAGTAAGTGACATACATACGATAAAACGTGATGCCTGATTGATTCCCGAGGGAACCTAACATGTGCGACTATATTTACGCAAACGTGTTTTCTATGTTTGAGTTCGTGCGCCGGCAAGCGATCGTTGATAATTACAGTAGAGCTAAACATGCCAATGTGTGCGTGTGTGTGCGCGCATGCGCACGCATCTTAAAGGGAGTATTGCCTGTTTCCATGCAAGGAGATTTACGAAGGTTTATATGTGTGCTTTAGTAAGTAGTTCTACGATCGAGTCTTTTGCACATATAGTTGTGTCAGTATAACCAGATAATGTATCTGTTCTCGCCTCTTTCACTTCATGTATACTTACTTTAGCTAACAGCTTATCCCCGAGTGATCACTTCAAAATGGCTTCCCTTCTCTCATGCGCAGGTTCATAAAAAGCCCCAAAGAAGGACGGCTTATCGAATGTCAGCTTGTAAAATATCTCCAGGGATTAAACATCCACCTCTTCTTAGGACAATCAGCGTTCAGAGGAAGTTAGTACAGCTGTTAGCTAGCAGTTAGAAAACTTTCCTTCTTGGTATAATGAAAAAATGTTTAATGCTGTATAAGTCATAGATAGTACATGACTATAGAATGGTTGATGTGTCATAAAGCCACAGACACCTTATGAGAGTTTTATTATTGTTATTTTTTAAAGACTTTATATAATTGTATATGATTTATTTATAAGAAAAATTTTCCTAGTATGGCCAAAACTGTCAACGACATTGACGTTTATTTAATATTTTATAAATACAATTCTTCTTTCTTTGGGCATAATATCCTGTTGGTGTTAGTCCCATTGCTAACAATCGCTTTACCAGTGGGATCATCGATAATTGTTGAAATCTATCGTGTTTTTCTTTAGCTGGCTTTTAAATTCATCTGTTTTTCTCCTAAGCTAGTTACCAACCACGGCATATATTGTTTCAACTCGCTAACAATTAGATTATTTGCACGACAAGTATAATACGATAACAAAATTCTTAACCATTTACCAATGAGTTTAAAGGAATTTGTGAGCTAAAAATAATTCATGCCATAACTTATGGCCTTTTATTTGTGAAGTTAAAATAAATTGGCCTTCTATTTGTGAAGTTAAACTTAGCAAAAAATTATATTTCTCCTGCGTCATCAGAGATGATGAATTGTCCTTTGCCCATTTGTAGGTAATGAACTCCTCTGATGCCCATTTATAGGTAATGAACTCCTCCAAGACACATAAACACAGTGGATAAAGGCGTTGGTTAGATCCAGTGACAGGACCCAAAGAGTATTAAGGCAGTTGAGAACTTGGAGAGGGGAATTAACAGGAGATAACTGATAAGTGACATCCATTAAATATGGCACGTGGAACTAGAACAGTCTACCCCAGTGAGCGAAATAAAGGGTTCAGTTCGACATTCCAACCACCTGAAGAAGGCCGGAGCGTACAACGGCCGAAACGTTGTAATAAATATGGCGACAAAGATGAGGACAATAGTCCGAATAATGTAAATAATGTACACAATACCTCATCTCAGAAATATAGACAGATACAGGAAAAGGTTACTTAAAATTTACTATTCATTTGGCCCCAGGCAAGACGACTAAGATGCAAAGGATTACTGGGTGTGAAGGAAAAAAAGAAAACGTTCCTGGGGAGAAAAAAAAAGAACAAGATTCAAGAATACAAAAGATGATTGGCGTTGCATTTAAATATTTGAAGATCGTAGTTTATAGTAAAGCAAGGAGCCGGGAGAGAGTTGTACAAGCGGAAATGCGAGAGAATAGTCTGTTAATAATTTCAGCAGTAAAAGGATGAGACCTAACTGCCAATCTAGTACAAATACTTCATGACGTCGAGGTATCAAAGAGAAAATCTCTTCAGAACAATTATCATAAAAATATTTATTTAAAAAAGTGCAAGGAAGCGACGTTTATGGTGGTGGAAATATGACTGAAACCGATAAGCCAGATTAGGACCGATAATATTGCAGATTCTTCTTTGGAGTTTGTCAAGAATCTCTAGATACAGAGCAGAATCACCAAACAAGATTTGACAACAATATCCAATGTGCAGGCGAATGGTTGGTTGATTGATTGATTGAAGGTGCAAGACAGCTTCTGGTGAGAAAAATTGTCTGGCACAGTGACCCAAGTTTCTTAACAGCAGCCTGAGGAACTGAGTCGGTAAAATCCTTCTACTGAATTCACTGCATATGAATGGTTATGCCACTCACTCTAATTTATAAAGGAAATCAGATCGTTAGATAATGAAGTTTTTGAATATGAATTATAAATAGAAAAACGTGATAGCACCATATAAAAACTGATGTAAACTTGTATAAATTTCACACGGATATTGTGCGTGTTTGTTTGTGTGTCTTCTCTGTATGGTTTTTGTTAATGTTGTTGTTTAATAAATATTCACCATATTGTATTATGATTACTTACATTATTTACATTATTCGGACTGTTATTCTCGTCTTCATTGTCATATTTACAACGTTTTGGCCGTTGTACGCTTCGGCCTTTATGTCTATGTCTCTCTATATATCTGTCTATATCTCTGAATTGAGGTATTATAATTACTTGCATTATTTACATTATTCAGACTGTTATCCTCATCTTCATTGCCATATTCACAACGTTACGGCCGTTGTACGCTGCAGCCTTTATGTCTATGTCTCTCTATATATTTGTCTATATCTCTGAGATGAGGTATTATGATTACTTGCATTATTTACAATATTCGGACTGTTATCCTCATCTTCATTGCCATGTTTACAACGTTTCGGTCGTTGTACACTCCGGCCTTAAATGTCTATGTCTCTCTATATATCTATCTATATCTCTGAGATGAGGTATTATGATTATTTACATTATTCGGACTGTTATCCTCATCTTCATTGCCATGTTCACAACGTTTCGGCCGTTGTACTCCCCGGCCTTCTTCAGGTGATTGGAATTTCGAATCTAACCCTTTATCGGGGGTAGATTATTCTAGTTCTACGTGTCATGTCTCTTCCGGATCCCTCAGTTATTTCCCTTTAACTCCACACTCCAAATTCTGGTTCACCACTGCTGTGGCCTGGTATTTCAATCACATATCTTTGCCCCTAAAAGTAGACGTTGGGGTGTGTGGGGAGTGTGATGGTTATCAATGCTGCAAGGGAACTCAGTTCAAATTTATGCCTAGTTTGTTGCGTTTACTTTCACACAAATACCGTTATCTATCCCTTCCCCCATTAATGGGGGGGGGAGGAATGTATATGCGTTAAGTATCAGGGTAGCCTGAACTTTCTAGCTTTTCGTTAATAATCAGTCTCGGATCTCTAGCTTTCAGTGTTTGCTGCACTAGAAGTACGACTCTAAATTCAAAACCATGAAGAAGGCTGTGTGAAACCACTGCACTAACCTTCCCAAGAATAAGCATGGCAATAAACAATATTAATTTAAAGGAAGTGATATTTGGTGAGCCATAATCTTATTAAAATAGTCGATCCTTTAAAAAAAGATAGGTAGAAAAAGAACAAACTGATTTTTAAAATGTCGTGTTTGTTATAGAAACGATTGTTGCTTTTAAACGATGCTTCATTTAACTACGGGGGGGGGTGCCCAATCAAAAAGGTTGTAAATTCGGAAAGACGTGAGACCAGCGTTGAAAACAGGTGACGAGTGATGTGATTCAAAAAATTCAAGAAGAATTTCTGCGCATTTCTTCAAACCCCACATCAGATGTTCTTCTTTGGAAAGTATGACATTCAAAAGTCGTTGAGTTCTTTAGCCGTCCAAGAAGGGTAGAATAAAAGACGAAAGTTTTCTCCAACTAACCTTTAAATGACGAGTCACAAGAACGGGCAGCAATTAATCAATTATAAAAGAACCAATCAGAGTTAAGTAATTACGCGGGAATTGAATGATTATTCAAGGTCATGAATATTCAAGAATTTTATTCAAGGTTATTCATGATCATTTATTCCTGAAAGATATAACAGTGATAATAAATTTGTCGCTTTTATATTAGGCACCCTGTAGAATACAATACATTAAAAGCATATGTAGGATGTTCAACATTTTTAGAATGATCTGACGGAATTGGCAAACATTAAATGTTTTGAAAGAGTGAGGTCTTTTCAGCACCTCCATTTGCGGACACACACACATGCACACACAACACAACACACACACACACACACACACACACACACACACATATATATATATATATATATATATATATATCAGTATTTGTATCAATTTTTCACTCTCTAAAGTTCATTTAATAAATTGGTCAGTTCATCGAGCTGTGTCGCCACAGAACGACAGATCAATTCATCTATGACAATAATTACTTAAGTACGCCCACACAGTTGGATCTATTTACATCTCTCACCATTCTTTTCCGTCGGCAATAGATTTATAATATATATATATATGTAAGCAAATGTAAATGGATATAGATCCGACAGACTGAAGAAAAATTTGATAAAAACAAACAAAAATCCTTAAATGCAATTATGTTGTTTAAAATGAATGAAATGTCGACGT